CAAGCCCCATGCCCGACGTACTGCACAAGTAGCGCAACACCCTGCTCGCTGCAGCCATGTGCTCTGGTCGGTGTCTCCCAGGAGCAACATAGCGTGCCAGGATGCTAAGAGGGTATGCAAGGTCAGGTCGAGTGGAGGTCATCAAGTACATGAGGCAGCCAACAAGCTCTGAGTACGGGCCATTCGGCTCTACGGACTCATCCGAAGGCAGAGCTGAGAGCGAGTGGCGAGTAGACAGAGGAGTGGCCTGAGGTGAGGAGTACGTGAAGTCGAAGCGCTGAAGGACCTGCTGCACCATGTGTGACGGAGTCAGGGTAATGGTGCACCGTGCTCTGTCCCAGGTGATCTGCAAGCCAAGGTAGCTGCGCAGTTCACCCAGGTATGTGCACGTGTGTCTCTTCTGCAGCTCGTACTTCACGTGGGCGAGTCCAGCGGTGTCAACAGTAGCAAAGACCAAGTCGTCGACGTGCACGAGGATGTAGAACGGTGGCAAAGAAGTGTTGGTGCGTAGAAACAGCGACGAGTCGGCAGTAGAAGGAGCAAAGCCAAGAGCCGCAAGTGTAGTCCTCAGTGTGTCGTGCCACGCACGGGGTGCCTGGCGGAGGCCGTAGACTATTCGTCGGAGGCTCCACTCGGTACCAGGAGGAAACGACCCAGTGAAGCCAGGTGGGCGGCGCAGCCAGATCTCCTCGTGCAGGCTGCCCTGTAGGAAAGCAGTGCTGAAGTCAAGAGAGTGAAGCTCGTAGTCGCGCTGAGCGGCTATATGCAGCAGCACCCGATGAGTGGTCATCTTTGAGGTGGGAGAGAAGGTCTGAAAGTAGTCAACTCCCTGCCGCTGTGTGAAGCCTCGAGCCACGAAACGTGCCTTGAAGATAGGCAGAGAACCCGGTGGCCGCTTCACCCTGAAAATCCACATGCCACTGACGATGTTCGCCCTAGGTGGGGGATCGTCATCAACGTAGGTGCCAGTGGACTTCCAGGAAGCCATCTCTGCGTCCATGGCTGATTGCCACTGAGAGGAGTAGGGACCCTCTATCGCCTCTGCGTAAGAGCGCGGATCGGGGATGTCTGGTGCATCCGGGTCTCCCTCAGGGGCAATCAGCATGGACACGAGATGAGGTAAAGCAGCATCAAAACACTGGAACTCCTCCTGCCTATCCTCAAGGACGTCCGTGCTAAGAGCACACTCACCCCCGACGGACAGAGGACCGACAGATTCAGACTCAGCAACCAGACTAGTGGCGTAGTCTAGACGACAGCGAGCAGCGAAGTCGACAAGCTCAGCAACTAAGGCAGACGCAGCAGTTGACTCAAAGAAAGGGTCAGTGACAACAGTAGCCAGGAGACGTGTGACAGTAGGACTGGCAGCACGAAGGGAGTCAGACTCCGGGTCAGGAAGAGCAGGAAGAGAGGACTCTGGAAGAGACGGCAAAGGGACACGCGGTGGAGGAGTGGAAGGATGCAGTGCCATCTGGTGCGTGCCTGGGACCGAAGGAGGACGCTGACGCGGAATACGACGACCAGTGCGAGCAGCACGAACAGGCGACGCAGGACGAGACGCAGGCTCACGACACTCTGCAAGACCTCTAGTAGGATCAGTGTAGGGAGAAGGAGCAGGCAGTGGGGAGGCGGGCTGCAACTGTGACTCGGACTGGACAGGCGGTGTACACTCTAAGGGAGGAGCAAGACCAGTAGAGGGCGGAAGACCAAGAACCTGCTCAAGGAGCGGAACGAAGTACGGCTGTGGCCGCGCAACACCTCCAGAACTAGCAGGGACAGCACCAGCACCCCCAGCATCAGCTCCAACAGCTCCAGCAGCTCCACCAGCTGCTCTAGTAGCGCCAACTACAGAACCCACATGAGCACCGGCTCTAGCAGTACCTCCAGCTCCAGCACCTCCAGTACCACCTCCAGCAGCACCCAAAGCTCCAGCACCGCCAGCAGCTCTAGCTCCAGCAGGACCATCGGAAGACGAAGCAACTCCAGCTCCAGTACCTCCAGCAGCACCTACTCCTGCAGCACCGCCAGCTCCAGCACCGCCAGCCGCTCCAGCTCCAGTAGCACCACCAGGCCCGGCAGCTCCAGTACCTCCAGTACGAACACCTCCGGGACTCGTGGCTCCAGAACCCCCAGCAGCCGTAGCAGGAGAAGGACCTCCAGCCGCAGCAGAACCTCCAGCGCTGGAAGCATCACCAGCTCCAGCAGCACGGCGCCAGCGCCTAGCAAACCACTCGCGCAGCTCCTGCGGAGAGAGTGGCTTCCGCCGGGACGAAGCACCAGAAGGACCTCAAGGCCCAGCACCACCAGACTCCACACGAGTAGGCCCAGCACCCTCAGGCTCCGCACCCCTAGACTCAGCAACCCCAGGCTCAGCACCCCAAGACTCAGCACCCCCAGGCTCCAGCATCCCCTGAATCAGCACCCCCAGGCTCTGCACCCTCAGGCTCAACACCCCCGGACCCGGCACCCGCAGGCTCAGCACCCCTAGCAGCACCAGAGTCAACATCGACCTCGACAGGCTCGACCGCGTCTACCTGGGACACACTTGAGGGAGCAGGACCCTGGGGGGGGAGGGGGTCTACCAGGGGAGGACTTGGCGCGAGGAAGAGCGGCAAGGGGGGGAAGGGGAGCAGTGCGGTAGGGGAAGAGACGGTAGTAGGGAACCGACTCGTCAAACGTGACGTCCTGAGAGGACAGAATACGGCGCGAGGTGGGGAGGTAAAACTGCCAACCAGGTGCGTCAGGGGGGAAGCCAAGGAAGACGCAGGGAACAGCACGGAAGGACAGCTTGTCCGCAGACAAGTCACGGACGAAAGCTCGAGATCCCCAGACCCGAAACGCAGACGCATCGCCAACCTTCCCCATCCACCGCAGAGCAGGGGAGGTCTACGACATGGAGACCCGGGGCTGAAGGTTGATCTGATGCGCCGCGTACTGAACCGCAAACGGCCACTGAAAATGGGGAGCAGCCGCATGGATCATGGACGTACGAGCAACGTCCATGACCATGCCAATGCGGCGCTCAGCAATCCCATTTTGCTGTGGAGAGGCCGGAAGCGTGAACGTCTGGCGGATGCCCTCCGCACGACAGAAGGCTCGCAGAAGGTCAGAGGAAAACTCTCCACCTCTGTCGGAGTGCAGACGCAGAACAGGAAAGTCCGAGCCGAAACTCTCTCTGGGGTGGAGACGAGCAGCGCGGATCCAATCGATCAACACCTCAGTGACCTCACCCTTGCGGCGCAAGGGGAAGACTGTGGTGTAACGCGAGTATTCGTCAACCACCAGCAGGAAGTAACGCTCATGACCCTGTCCACGGACGCGGACGGGGCCCCACACGTCCATGTTTAGAGTCCGTAGCAGAGCCTCTGTCGGAGGAAACTCGGAGGACTGAGGAGCGGCGCGCTGCCGTCCCTCGACGCAGGGAACGCAGGTAGGGGCAGGCATCGGAGGAAGGGGAGGGAGGGACCCGGGGAGACCAGAGACAAGGACACAGGAGGCCATGCCTTTGAGACGAGGCAGGGAGGGGTGACCAAGGAGGTGGTGCCAAAGGAGAGTCTGGTGGGACAGGAGGCGACAAAAGCAGGGGGCAGACTCAGGAATAGACCGAGACGCTGCAGTAGACACATGACCCGACGCAGCAACCTGACCAAACGCAGTAACCGAAGGAGACTCAGTCGTCAGTGTGTACAGGCTCAACCCCGGCTGACGGGTAAACGTGGCCAAGTGTCGGCCCGTCCGAGCACACGTGCAGTGGGTCACTCGCTGACTCGCAGGAGTGAACTGGTCAACCCCTCCATCCTGCAGGTCAGCACCACTCACCAAGTTCGTAGAGAACGAGGGGAGGTAGAGACCTGACAGGGAGCCAGACGGGGCCGCCGAACACGGTAGGAGAGTGGAGTAGTGAGCAAGGATAGGATCCCCAGAGGGGTCTGCCAGGGAGACCGCAACCGGCCGACTAAGCGGCGTGAGGGTGGTGCGATCTCGAAAGAAGGAGCGGGAAGCACCCGAGTCAAGGGTGAAGGTGTGCAAGACCGCAGCAGGCGCAACACCAGAGAGAGCAGACTCACCAGCACTTGCAGCAGGAGACTCACTAGCACCTAGAGCAGCAGCCTCACCGACACCTGGAGCAGGAGACGCACAAGCACCTAGAGCAAAAGACTGGATATCGCGGTCAGGCGGCACTCACAGGTGACAGGCACCCTCAGCACTAGTAGACAATGCATACATCGCAGTGAGAAGAGCATCATAGTCAAGAGCAAAGATATCTACCCTCTGCCTAAGCAGCTCCAGCCACGATGGGAGCTCAGCGTCGTTGCCAAACTCTGTACGCCAAGCGTCGCTCAGACGGGCGAAGCAGCGGGACTCTGTGTGACTAGGAGTCCTGCAAGGCTCACCAGTCCGGACACCCGTGCGAATGACGTACGGGCAGCGAGCACGACTCAGTGACCCTCTTCTCTGAGCGTACCACTCACGTAGCTGCTGGGGCGAAAGGGTCTTGCGCGGACGATGCTGCAGCTTCACCTGGCCACTACAAGAAGCTCCCGAACTACTCACTCAAGGACGACTCCCACTACGGCCACCCCGACAACCCCAACTAGCGTACCACTCACGAAGCTGCTGGGGCGAGAGGGACTCATGCGAACGTCGCTGGAGCTGTAGCTGGCCACCGCCAGGAGTTGCAGTAGCAGTAGTAGCCGCAGTAGCAGCAGTAGCAGCAGTAGCAGTAGTAGCCGCAGTAGCAGCAGTAGCAGTAGCAGCAGCGTGGCCAGCCCTACAACCCCAACTAGTGTACCACTCACGCGGACGGCGCTGGAGCTGCATCTGGCCACGCCAGGAAGAGCAGTAGCAGTAGAAAGAGCAGTAACAGCAGTAACATTAGCGTCTGTGTTTCAGTGAGCAAAGTATCATTGAATTGCCACTAGATTGCCTTTTTGTTCTTGTTGAATAAGACAGTGTTGTACTAGAAGTCCAGAATGACTTCGTTGGCTCGCAACCAATCCATGCCCAGGATGAGGTCGACACCTGACAAAAGTGGTAGGACATACACGCGAACTGTTTCGCAGTCCTGTACATTCAAGTCAATATGTATCTGTCCTTTATTTGGAATGACACGATTGTCACCCAAGCGGATGCGACATGACGGTCCTACAACGAGGACGTTGCATGCCGTAACCCAAGTTTCATCAACAAGGGAAGCCGACGCGCCCGTATCGACAAGAATCCTTGCTGTGTCCCCGTTCATGCGTCTAGGCAACAGTAAACTCTGTTGAATCGTTGAACAGATGGGACAATCGACTACAAGTTTAGGAGGTCGATAGTACACCCTAAATTTGTTGCGAACATGTCTAAATCTTTGGGATGTGGTCCACCAAACATGGTGCCCTTTGTCCCATGTTGCCAGGATATGCCATTCGTGAAATCGGCGCAAATCAACTCCTTGAACGAGCAAGAGATGATTGAAAAATTATCTCTCAAGGATTCAATTGAAATGTTTTCAACTGGGTATAATCGAGCTATAAAAACAGGTTTTTCATTAATAGAAGAGGCATACAAACAAGCGATTTTGCATGACGCAAGCTTCTCTAGCTTTAGCAAATCCTCATCACAAAGAACATAAGCCTTATCTACTTGATCCCTTTCACTAACTAGGTACTGTCAGAATAGTGGTTAGAGGAATGCACGAACCATAGCCTAGGGTTTAGCTAGCTAGGCACGAGAGAATAAGCAAAAGAGGGGTTGCACTAGCAAGCAGGTGGATGCATATAGGAAACCCTAAGGGGCCGTACTCAATACAGAGTACCCCACTGCAGGCTAGACAAACTACACATTCTGACACACCCCCATAGTCAAAGTGGGGTATGATCAGCACAACAAGCAGCAGTTTATAGTTCACAAATATAAGCAAAGCTAGAGTCTATCACAGAGGGCTAGTGAGGAGGAGGAGGGACTATGAGAGGAGAGGAGGTAGTGGGCGGCAGCTGAAGCTGCTAGCACACGGCGCAACTGGAGCAACTGGCACATGGGCAACTGGAGCAACTGGCACACTGGCAACTGGAGCAACTGGCACACAGGCAACTGGAGTAACTGGCTCCGCGGCTAGACGAGTGGCAGGAGCAATTGAATTTCGGGCGACTCGAGCAATGGGCTCACTGGAGACTCGAGCGACGGGCTCACAGGCGACTGGTGCAACGGTCTCACGGGCGACTGGAGCTGCTGGCTTCACGGCATCCACCCCCTTTCAACCTCCCCCTTTGTCCCAAAACTCCAGTTCGCACCCCTTGCTGCACCCCTAGCATCACTCCCACGACAACCCCCTAGCACCACTCCTTCCGCTCCCACACACCCACCCCCCTCAACGACAGCTGCAGCAGTGGGAGACGGAGGAGGAGGAGGAGGAGGAGGAGGAGGAGGAGGAGGAGGAGGAGGAGGAGGAGGAGGAGGAGGAGGAGGAGGAGGAGGAGGAGGAGGAAGAGGAGGAGGAGGAGGATGGGGAGGAGGAGGAGGAGGAGGAGGAGGAGGAGGAGGAGGAGGAGGAGGAGGAGGAGGAGGAGGAGGGGACAGCGCACACACCCGTCACCCCCATACCCGCCACCCCCACACTCGCCACCCCCAAACCCTAACACGGTTAGCACAGGGCAGGAGCGCGGGCAACAGCGTGGGAGACGGCGCGCGGCCCCCAGGGCGCCGCGACGGGGCAGCGGGGGGGGGGCCGCGCGCGGCTCCTCAGGGCGTCGCGACGGGGCAGCAAGGGGTCGCGCGCGGCTCCCCAAGGCGTCGCGACGGGGCAGCGGGGGCCGCGCGCGGCTCCCCAGGGCGTTGTGACGGGATAGCAGGGGCCGCGCGCGGCTCCCCTGGGCGCCACGACGGTGCAGCGGGGGGGCGCGAGCGGCTACCCAAGGCATCGCGACGAGGCAGCAAGGGCCGCGCGCGAGTTGCAGAGCGACGCGACGGGCTCCAGGGGGGGCGACGCGATTGTCGACGGGGGGGACGCGCGGGTCTCCGGGGTGACGCGTGAAGCAGGAAGCCGCCACGCGCCTCGGGGCGCATGGCGGGCAGAAAACCGCCATGCGCCTCGAGCGCGTGGCGGGAAGAAAAAACAGCGTCGCGCGCCACGGGGCACGCGATAGACAGGAAAGCAGCAGAAGCAGGTGGGCCCACAGGCCAAGAGCGTATCAGCTCTGATACCATATCAGAATAGTGGTTAGAGGAATGCAGGAACCATAGCTAGGGTTTAGCTAGCTAGGCACGAGAGAATAGGCAAAAGAGGGGTTGCACTAGCAAGCAGGTGGATGCATATAGGAAACCCTAAGGGGTCGTACTCACTACAGAGTACCCCACTGCAGGCTAGACAAACTACACATTCTGACAGGTACCCACCCCCTAGTTGTTCTTCTGAAAATCCTTGGGACCCGAAGGACTAGAACCATCCGGCTTCTTGCCCTGGTTGGGCTTGCTGGAATTATTGACCGTCTTCCTCCAACGGCAGTTGTAGGCCTTGTGGCCGAGCTTGCCACAGATGTGGCAGCCCGCCGAGGGCTTATCAGCATCCTGAGGGTCCTTGGTGGACCCCGCATGGGCCTTCTTGGACTGTGTCTCAGAGGGTTCCCCCTTCTGCTGATAAGGCCTCTTCCAAGAACCATGGCCCTTGGGCACCGAGGTCATGCTACCACCCCCCCTAGGGCCTTCGGCACTAAGCGGCTGCAAAGCACGAGCGTGACTCATGTACGCACAAAAATTCACATCCGTGTCAATGACATGCTCCTTGCACTCCTTGTAGGCCTTCCACTGGTGCTCCCCTCGAACAACGTGCATACGCTTAATGTGCTCGAAAAACTGGTGGATGACCTCGCTCTCAGGAAAAGCGGTCTTCAGCAGCGACAGAGTTTTCTCGAACTCCTTGGCGTACTCGCGTACAGTTTGGTCACCGCACTGGATGTTCTCTAGGCGGCTACGCACCTCAAGCGCCGGGGGTTGACTTAGGAATGCCGTCAGCATAGCAGCTTTGAACTCCTCCCAGCCAAAAGGATGGCCATTTGCCTCTGCGTGGCGCTCGTTGGCATACACCAACTTGCTCGCCGTGTCATCCAGGGCAAGGGTCGCTGCGACCACGCGAGCCTCGCTACGCACATTGTGGATGGACATGAATTCCTCCGCAATGGAGAGCCAAATCTTGACATCGGTCTTGCCGTGGACAAAACGAGGCAGGGCCGAAGGGCACGAGCCAAAGGCAGTTGCAACTGCAGCAGGAGGCTCAACACGTGCTCCAGCAGTAGGGGAGACATAAGAAGGTGTGACAGCAGGTTCAGCACGGCTATTGGTGGAAGCTGCGGCACGCTCAGCTGCAGAAGGAGGCTGATAGATGTTGCCACGCCGGATCTCCTTGTACTGAGCCTGAAGCTGGGAGATGAGAGTGTGATGCTTGTTGAGCTGCCCTTGCACGAACTTGAGAGTGTTCTGCAGGTCTAGAATGAAGTTGGAGGTGCCCTTAGGGATCAGCTGCACTTCCTTGATCAGCTCCTCAATCAAGGTCTTGAGCTGGGCAGAGTCAGCCTCCAAGTTTTGGATGCAGCACTGCTGCTCCCAATGAGAACATTCTGCTTCGTGATCCAGGTCTAGAGCTTGACAGCAACGTCCTCAGTCTCATTGGAGACACCCTCGTTAGTATCAGCCTCATCCTCATTATCAGCACCAGCCTCAGCTTTAGCTTCATTGCCATTGATCTCCAGGTCATCCAAGAACTCATCTTGATTAAGATCAATGTCAGTAGCAGCAACATTATCCCCTTCATTGCCAACCACAGGCGCCTCCTTAGAAGCATCCATCTCTTGACCAGAAGCCAAGAAATAGGTAAGAGAAATTAATATCTTCAAATTTCTTCTCAAAGTTGATGAAAATAAGAAAATCCTTGTAGATCTTGTAGGTCCAATGAATGACTAAAGTAGTTGTAACTTGAAGCTTGTAGATCTTGTAGAAGCTCTTGCAGATCTTGAAGGGACCTTTGTGGATCTTGAAATCTCTTCAAAGTCTTTACACCTCCTTGGATGAACTCCTAGATCAAGAATTAAAATGGCCACACAAGTCCAAGAACCTTGCACTAGATACCAATGTAACACCCGAGGCTATTATAGTAGAGATTACAAGGCTTTTATAAGAATCCCGGTACAAGATGGTAGCTCTAGCTAACCCCTCTTAATAGCCTTGGAGATGAGAGTCTTGTTGAAACCTTTGATGGGAAGCACTTGAAGAAGTTGTGTAGAGAGTTGTGTGAGAGAGCTCTCAATGACTTAGGCAAAACAATCCCATTTTTGATTGATTAGTTGGAGTGGGAGGTGAAGAATGAGCTTGGGAACTCAAACCCCCTCAATACACTTCTTTGGGAACTCTCCCAACCATGGTTTCTATGGTGGGATGGTTATTAGGCTTTGAGCCTATGTGGCAATTAGTTGGGCTGGGAAAACCCAACTTAGGACCATTGAATGGTTGCATTTAGGATAGAGTAAATTGTAACGATTGTTTGGTAGTTTGTGATTGGTTGGAAATCCAACCTTCAACATTTTCTTGGTTGAGTTGGAAAAGTTCCAAGTCTCCAAGTTGAGGCTTGGCAAACCCAAACCAAGTTTTATCCTAACCCAACCCAACCTTCTTCTCCAAGTCCTCCTTGTCGAGGAAACTCTTGACATTTGCCTAGAGTGAAGTTGGTTAGTGAGCTTAGTTAGGGCAATGCGTTACATCAGCTGCCGCTAGCGCGCAGTCCGCCATCGCACTCCAGCGCACTCATCAACGAGCCAGCGCGCACGCCAAGAGCTGCCACCAGCACGCAGCTCACCAGTAGTGCGCTAGCAACAGTCGCCAGTACGCAGCCCGCTAGCGCACACCAGCGGACACATCAACGAGCGACCGTGCATGCCAGGTGCCGCCCAAGTGCGCACGCCAGGTGCCGCCCTAGTGCGCACATCAGGTGCCGCCTCAGTGCGCACGTCAGTGTGCACAATAGCGCACAACCCATCAGCGCTAGTACGCTAGTAGTGCGCTAGCAGCTTCTATGAGCGCACAAGCCAGCAGCACGCCAACAACGAATGCGAGCACGCACACCAGCGTGCAAGGTGGCGTGAGGTGCTGGCTGCTGTGAACAGGCAGCACCGCCATCCTTAGCGTGCAAGCCAGCAGCGTCCCAAATTGCCCCTTAGGACGACCCTTGCGGGTCGTCCAATTTGCTTCTTACACAACCCCCGCGGGTCCCTTGAGTCGCCCCGTAAATGATCCCCACGATCCCTCGTTTCGTGCCCCGAAGGCCCCAGTTTTGCGCCCCGAAGGCCCCTCGTTTCGTGCCCCATAGGCCCCTCAGTTCGTGCCCCGTTAGGCTCTCTCTCGCAGCCCAGTTGATTCGCGCCTCGCAAGGCCTCCACAACCCCTCAATTTGAGCCTTGCATAGCCCGTCGCCAGGCCATTCATCGCGCTCCCGCCATCCATCCCGTTTGTGCCGCTCATCGTGCTGCTACTGCCTATTGCGCTGCTGCATTACGTTCTCGCCAGCAAGTACATTTGCTTGTACGTATGCCAGCTGCGTGTGCAGCCGGTGTAATGCGCTAGCAGCTGTGTTAGGGTGACGCCTGCGTGCATGCAACTGTAGCAGTACATTGTAATGTGCCAGTTGCTCGTTAGGTCGCAACCAGCGTGCTAGCAATTGTAGTCCATCGTGGACGCTGCTCTACTACTGCCTTTCCCCACACGCAGCACCAGGTCCTAACGCATCGCTGCAGCGAACGTGTGATAGCAGTATCATCATGCTGCTGCATACCAGTGCGACCAGCAGCAGCAATGCATCAGAGCCGCCACTGCTGCAGCTCCGGCGCATGCTGCTGTGGTAGGTGCACTAGTATTAGCACGTACTAGCAGTAGTGTGCATTACCATCGGTCGTTCGTTCAACCTAACTTACTGCAGCCCACTCTTATGTCCTTTCAACCACTCGTATCCGCCTATAACCTTTCGTAAAACCGCCCGTGCTGACATCAACACTGCTGTCCATCTCGCCGCCTGTAATCGCACATAGTCTTCCACAAAGCCGCCCTCCCGGACATCCACACTACTACCCGTCCTGCCGCAAGTTGCTATCCGTACAGCCACCCTCATTGCAGCCCACACTGCCATCTGTTTTGCCTCTCCAGCTGTTCCTAGCTCCAGCAGCTCCTAGATCCAACCGTTTTTAGCTCCAACCACTCCTAGGTCCAGCCGCTTCTAGCTCTAGCCAGTCGTGTCCAGCCTCTCCCAGCTCCGGCCACTCCTAGCTCTAGCTGCTAGCTCAAGCCATTCCTTGTTCCAAACGCCTTCATGTACGTCCATGCCTTGATGAGTTGCCTGCACTCCCCACGTCCTACAAAGATTGCCGCTGATGCCACCACCAAGCAGCAGAAGGAGTATTGTGACGCCCAGCTGCGTACACACTTGGGAGACGTTGCTGCGCACCTTGCCATTGGTCGTCTCCTGCCGCAGGCCCGGCCGGTCCACTACTGCTAGGCCGAGATGGCGAAGGAGCAATTTTATGATATTATTGCTCGATACTCTACATCCTCTTGTACTGCTCTACGGTGCCTTCTCATGCCCTTCCTCTATCCTTCTCACTTTTTTTCTTTACTGTTGTCAATCTTGGTACTCAACTATGCTCCACGCATCTCACCCGGTACATCATTGCGACCTGCCTCCCTGACCAGCTCGTGCCTGCCCAATACCACACGGACCTCATTATCGATCTATTCCATTTATCATTGCAAAAACAGAAAGGTGGACCAATATGGCTTCAAAACCCTAGGCTCTCATTTTACAAGTCACAGCCAACTGCTGGGTCAAAACAAGAGTTGTAAAGGCGAAGTGGATTCTTAATTTGGCTCGTGCGTAAGCTTACAGACATTACATTAGCAGCAGTAGCATATTAATAGCCGTGGCATGCATTATAGTTTTATGGATGCACTTCAGAATACCTGAGAAGACCAAATACATGATCTTCAAAATAACTTTTCATGAGCAACAACCACCACCTCTGTATTTTGTACTCAATGGATCGAACTTCAATTTTCACAACGCTAGTTTATACTAGTTAAGAGTGTGTCGTTGCTGAACCACCTATGTAGAGATGGAATCATCTAGCAGAATCAAAATGGGAGAAGCGTGCTCACGGGGAATAAGGCAAGCTGGCTCCACAGATTGAGTTTTACATCCAGATGTAGTAGCTGGAAGACTCTAAGCACATTAAAAAAGCTCATCCGTTCGTAAGTTCCCTTGTGGGAGGCCGAAATTGTCTCGTTGGTCTATCCCAAAGCGCTTCCTGCTCCCTTTATGGTAGGGTCCCAAACAATTTGTTGCTTAGACCCTGTGGAGGCGAAGTTTTTCAAGGCCGATTCCCACTGCTGATATGGAAGCTAAAAATTTTGGATGTTAAGGCCCGAGTTCCACATGGCTGATTTCAAATTCAAGGTTCTTAAATATGAACTCGCCAAAAACCAAGTTACTACCCGAAGTGAAGCATTTCGTCGCGTTGAGGAGATGTTTTGCAAATCTGATGCATGATTTGCCAGCAACAAAACAAGGCTTTTGGGGTGACGTGTCAACGGGAGATGGAGCACTGTTCACATTCAGTAAACTTGAAAACCAAGTTGTACTACTTGGCAGCCATATTTAGGCACAATACGCGTAGTCTACTCCCCGCTACTCTGGACCAAAAGAGCGTGTTGAGAAAAGTAGAACGAGAATTAATGAACTATGAATGAAGTGAGTACATATAGGAAACCCTAATTGGGTTGTACCCCCTATGGGATACCCCACTATAGCCTACACAACAGCATAAGCTATAATGTTCTTACACACCCCCATAGGCAAAGTGGGGGAGAACAAGGGGTCACAAGACCAGTCAAGCAAAGCAAAGCAAAGCTCAGGGTGGATCACAAAGTCACCACACATTCCGAGCACAAGTTCAAAGGCCAGAAGGCCAGTTTACATACAGGAGCAAGTATATATATAAGAGGCTAAACAAGCAAGAGCAAGAGTATATATAAGTGACAGTACAAGCAAGGTCAAGCAGTGAGCAAGTGAGGCAAGACAGGCACAAGACCAAGCTGAGTGCAGAAGCGCTGATGATCACAAGGCGCAAGCGCCTTGGTGAAGACATCAGCAGTGTTGGCCTCAGAGGCCACGTACGCAAGCCGCAACTGTCCACGCTGCTGTAGCTCACTAGCAAGGAAGTAGCGAAGAGCAATGTGCTTTGTTCTGTGCTCCAGTCGTTGCTCTCGACACAAGGCCAGCATGGCCTTGTTGTCTACGTACAGGACAGGAGGAGAACGAGGCGGCTCTCCAAGGTCGGTCAGCAGGTAGGTGAGCCACCGAAGCTCCTGTGCAGCCATGGCCACGGCGTAGATCTCAGCCTCACAACTGGAGCCGAGAATAGAAGACGAGCGAGTAGCCCGCCACGAAACAGAATCGGAACCAAGGCTAAAGGTGTAACCCTGTGACGCCCGCTGCGTAGCCTAGTCGTCAGCCCAAGAAGCGTCCGCGTGCCTAGTGAGGACCACTGGACTGCGCCCTCCAAGCACTAGCCCCATGCCCGATGTACTGCACAAGAAGCGCAACACCCTCTTCGCTGCAGCCATGTGCTCTGGTCGGTGTCTCCCAGGAGGAACATAGCGTGTGAGAATGCTAAGAGGGTATGCAAGGTCAGGTCGTGTGCAGGTCATCAGGTACATGAGGCAGCCAACAAGCTCTGGATACGGGCCACTCGACTCTACGGACTCATCCGAAGGCAGAGCTGAGAGCGAGTGGCGAGTAGGCAGAGGA